AACTTGAAGGTCCACTTCCAACTTCTTTTGGTTATCTATGCAACTTAAGGGATATAAGTTTCTCATATCTCAAACTCAACCAGCATATTAATGAAATTTTAGATATTCTTTCACTGTGTATTTTTCATGGACTGACAACACTTGAAGTTCAAAGTTCTCAACTTTCAGGCAATCTGACAGACCAATTTGAAGTTTATAAAAATCTTGTCACACTAGATTTTAGTGGAAACAAAATTGGTGGAGAACTTCCAGTATCGCTTGGAAAACTTTCATCACTGAGAAATCTTTATTTGTCCAATAATCAACTCAGTGGAAATCCATTTGAGAGTCTTAGATCACTTTCTAAATTGTCATATCTTCATATTGGTTATAATCGTTTCGAAGGAGTTGTAATGGAAAATTACCTCACAAATCTTATGAGTTTGATTGAGCTTTCTGCATCAGAAAACAATTTGACTTTAAAAGTGGGTCCCAATTGGCATCCTACTTTCCAACTTACTTATTTGGATATGAGTTATTGGGAATTAGGTCCTAACTTTCCTTCATGGATTCAATCACAAGACAAACTTGATTATTTAGCGATGTCTAAGACGGGGATTTTAGATTCTATTCCGTATTGGTTTTGGGAAACATTTTCGCAGGCTTCTTTTCTAAATCTCTCTTATAATCATATCCATGGTGAGCTTGGGACTACATTAAAGAATCCAATATCTATCCCCATTGTTGATCTCAGTGCAAATAACTTACGAGGCAAATTTCCTTTACTTTCAAATCGTGTGCTTTTTTTGGACCTTTCAAGCAATTCATTTTCCAAACCAGTGGATGATTTTCTATGCAAAAATCATAAGAATCCAATGAATTTAGGATTTCTCTATCTTGCATCAAATAACTTGTATGGAGAAATACCTGATTGTTGGGGAATTTGGCCATATCTAGTGGACATGAATTTACAAAACAATAATTTTGTTGGGAACATTCCCCAATCCATGGGTTCATTGACGGAGCTCGAATCATTACGCATTCATAAAAACTTGCTCTCGGGAAGATTTCCAACAATTTTGAAGAAGACTAAACAATTGAAATTATTAGATATTGGAGAAAATAATTTTTCAGGAACAATTCCAATTTGGGTTGGAGAAAGTTTTTTAGATATGAAGGTTCTTATCCTTCGATCAAATAGATTCTCAGGTTATATTCCTAAAAAAATATGTGATATGAGTCTTCTTCAGGTGTTAGACCTTGCACAAAACAATTTGACTGGACATATACCTACTTGTTTTAATAGCTTGAAGGCCATGACCATGACAAACAAAAGTACAACTCCTCTTATCTATTGTGATACTTGAATCAATATATATAGTAGGTCTTCATATATTACTATAGTCAGCGTTCTTCTTTGGTTGAAAGGAAGAGGAGATGAATATAAAAACATTCTCGGATTGGTAACCAGCAGCATTGATTTGTCAAATAACAAATTAGTTGGAGAAATACCGATAGTGATCACAGATTTAAATGGTTTGTTATTTTTGAACTTGTCTCACAACCAATTTATTGGTCACATTCCACAAAACATTGGTAATATGGGATCATTGTTGTCCATTGATCTCTCAAGGAATAAACTTTCTGGTGAAATCCCTCCAACCATTTCAAGTTTGAGCTTTCTAAGCATACTAGATTTGTCTTATAATAATTTGAATGGAAAAATTCCAACAGGAACTCAGTTGCAAACCTTTGATGCCTCCAACTTTATTGGCAACAATCTCTGCGGCCCACCACTACCCATCAATTGCAGCTTCAATGACAAAATTCTTAGTTATGATCGCAATGACAAAGGGAGTGATAGGCATGGAGTGAACTTATTTTTTGTGGGTATGACATTTGGATTTGTGGTGGGATTTTGGATAGTAGTTGGTCCTTTGGTCATTTTTAGATCATGGCGTTATGCCTATTTTCATTTCCTTGATCATGTGTGGTTCAAACTTCAATACTTTTTTTAATGTCAGTACAATATCTAATGTGGTGAAAAATAAAATCATTATAAAACGTGAAAGTTAATTGGGATTACTCTGTATTGCATAGTTCTAATTTTCATGTCATTTCTTTATTGTTTGATTTATTTTGAAATGTGAGAGTGTTATTTAAATTATTAGTGGATTTCAAAACTAAAGAATCTGCGTGTTCAACTTATTATAGATAAATTCTAGCTAATTTCGTCTATGAATATCAACAAATTGTAATTTATTCTTAGAAAAATTTGAGAGTGTGAACTTAATTTGAACCGTGTAAAACTCTTGTTGAAAAGAATTGAAGCAACGTATTTAATGAGTTGCTTGGCTTTTAGATACTCAAAGGCATTTGTATTCAAATTTATAGATGGTTATAATTTCTTTCCCAATAGAAAGATTCAAAGGCATTATAAAATACTACTTTCTTTCTCAATAGCAAGATTCAATCACTTTGTGAACATTTAGTTTTGGATTTTTTAACTTTATCTCTTCAATTTTTAAAATTAGCCTATTTTATTTTAACATTTTACATATGAACAAAAAATATGAGACTCTGGTATAAAGGTCTAATAACACCCATCAGAACTCCATGTTGAATAGGCAAAATTCTCTTCTTTGCATTTGATAGACTTTTAATCAAAGACTTGTCAGGGTATCATTTTTTTAAAACATTTGTTATATCGTTGAGCTAACTTTTCGCATATTCCTTCATTGCTGAGATGTCTGCTCAGTCTTGAAGTTTTAGCTGCTTGTTCCAATGATATCTGTAGATAATATTCTGGAAATTTGGAAATGTCTTTCTTCTCCTGTTGATGGTTTTGGACCTTATCTGATCATTTGTGAATGGTTTACACTTTAATAATAGTTGATTTAATAGAAAGTTGTTTCACAACAATTGTACTTAAAATTGCTAGCAGCAAGGAAAATATAATTATTGAGATATGACAACAATTGCTCGCAGCAAGGATGTACTACTTTTAATCATTGATTGGTATTTTGCTAGTTTCAGTTTTCAAAGGTAAAAGATAAATGTTGAATGCTATAAATAAAAGCTTATAAAAGAGAAATGATTGGTGAAAGAGGCAGAGTAAAAAAACGTAGTAATGGAAAGTAAGCAGATGCAGGATAAAATAGGTTAGTTTGTGTTGTTCTCTGAAATTAAATGAATTTTTTGCCTTGACTGGTTGATGCGAATTCTGCACAGTGTGACTCACCCACCTTCTGAGAAACTGATCCTAAAATCTATATACAAAGTTTTCCTTCTGAGAAACTGATGTGCATTTAAGGAAAGTGGCAACTGTTACCTATTTTTAAGGGGCAATGTCATTGATAATCTTTTAACACCTATGAGCCTCTTGAAGGTAAGAAAATAATGGTGAAAAATTTGAACTAATTCAACCATTTTTTTTGTATGCAACCATTCAGCTAATATCTTTGTACTGCCAAATAGCTGAATTCTGCATTGATTACCTATATAGTTCTGCTAAGACTTTCAATAGTCGAATGCTCCTCATTCAACTAATTATGTAAACCGCCATTTTGACTTTATTCGCGTTCAGCTGATCTTGTATTCACTCTACTTAACTTCATTTATACTGAATCCTCAATAGAGAACTTCTAAAAGAACATATTTTCCCATCAATTTATTTGAGTTAAAAGAATGCAATGTTTTAGCAGATGATCTTTACTCGAACAGCTTCATTCAGGTCCTTATTTTCTTAGCTGTGTAACTCATCTTTATAAGCTAATATCTGCTTTAAGTTAATCATGTAATAGGATTCTACTCTGAACAAGACAAAAAGTAAGCCTTTTTGAGAAACAAAGTGTTCTGTGACAAGACGACGCGAAATCTTTCCGGTGGCAGTCTTGGGCAAAGAATCAGTAATGAATACCCTTTTGGGAAGTTTGAAGGATGCAAGATTGTTCTTGCTATATCTTAGCATCTCTGCCTCGTCAACATTTGATCTTTCTCTTGGGATAACCGCACAATATATCTGTCAAGAGTTCACAATATATCATCAACACATATTTCAGTGAACAAAGTTGGAGATACTGTAGGTTATTTTTTATTGAAAAAAAGTTTGAGAGAGTGGAAGAGAGGAATATAAAACTGCATGGATATTTTTTTATTGAGGAGTGTTATCACTTTTATAAAGCAAATAACGTAAATGCAACCTAAATGCACGAAAATATTGACATCTATAACCACTAACAAATTAGTGCTCCTAGTGTCTAGAAAATAGCAAATAAATCCTACTAGTCAACATGACTTTTATTTTCCTAAAAAAATAGCATAACATTATTTTAATTTGTTAATTTCCAATAGTCATATATCAACACTCCTCCTTGACCTTGGAACAGCAAACTCCAAGCTTTTGTCTCAATAACTCAAATCTAGATTTTGGAAGTGCCTTGGTTAGGATATCAGCCACTTGATTTTTTGTTTCGCAGTAAACTAGTTTCACTTGTTCTTCTCTTTGAACTTCTCTTAAAAGGAAAAGTTTTATCTTAAAATGCTTTGTTTTGCCATGAAAAACTGGATTATTGACAATTGAAATTGCAGCTTGATTATCCAAAAAATCTTTGTGCTATCTTCTTTTTCTAGGTAGTCATGATTTTCCTTATCCAGACAGTTTGATTTACAGCAGTAGCAACAACATACTCTGCTTCTAGTGTTGATTGAGCTATAATTTCTTGCTTTTTGGGACACCATGAAAAAACTCCAGAACCAAGTGAGAAACAATAACCAGAAGTGCTTCTCATATCATCAACACATCCTGCCCAATCACTATCTGAATAATCATGAAAACTTAAGCTTTCAACTTTTTTGAACTTTATACCATAATCAATTGTGCCTTTAACATATCTAAGAATTCTTTTTGCTGCTTGTAAATGAATTTCACTAGCACAATGCATGTACCTTGATAACAAACTCACTGAATGCATGATATCTAGTCGTGTGGCAGTTAAATACATTAAGCATCCTATTAAGGATCTAAACAACTTTTCATCAACCTTTTCAGCTCCATCTTCTCTGTAAAACTTTTCTTTTTGGTTCATTGGAGTTGCAGCTGACTTACACTCTTCCATGTTGAACTTCATAAGTAATTCCTTTGCATATACTTTTCTTGGCACACAAATATTTCATTCTTCTTTAAACTTGTCAATCATCTCCTTACAATTTCCTGTGACAAATAAGTTATCAACATACAGAGATATCATAAGTATATCTTCATTCACCTTTTTAATATATATGGTATACTAACTTATACTTTTCACAAAGCCTAAACTCATTAAATGTGCATGAATTCCACTATACCAAGACCTTGGTGCTTGTTTTAACCCATATAAGGTCTTTTTCAGTATATAAACCTTGTCTTCTTGCCTTGAAGAGCAAAACCTTTTGGTTGTTCCACGAAAATTTCTTCCTCCAAATATCCATTCAAAAAGGCTAATTTTACATCCAATTGATGTATAAGCCAGCCTTTTGTGTAGCTAGTGCTAGCAACAACCTTATTGTGTCTAGCCTGGCAACTGGGGAAAACGTTTCAGAGAAATCTACCCCACACATCTGAGCATATCCCTTGACAACAAGTCTGGCCGTATACTTGTTCACAGAACCATCGAGATTGAACTTGGTTCTATAAACCCACTTTACTCCAATGGCCTTTTTATGACCAGGTCTATCCACCAACTCCCACGCTCCTCTTCCATGGCATTTATCCACCTTTTGTTAGTAGCAGCCTCTTCATATCCACTAGGTTCCATGAGTGCAACATTACACCTTTGATAGATGTCAAAAAGCAATCTTGTTCCTCTGATAGGTTCGTCATCCACATCTTCATTCTCCTCTTGTAATCCAAACTCAATGTTGTCTTTCCAACTCAAACAATTAAATTGTTCAAGGTCTTTGTTGTCTTTCCAGCTCCAACAATCAACTCCAAGAATTTCACATCCCTACTAACTAACAATGACTTTGTTGTTGTGTGGGATATAGATCCTATAAGCCTTTGAAATCAAGCTATAGCCTACAAAAATTCCAGGTTCTGCTTTCTTGTCCAATTTGTCTCTCTTAATATGAGGAATATAAGAGAAACACAAGCAACCAAATATCTTTAAATTAAATAGCTCAGGTTTGTAACCGTACCATGCTTCAAAAGGCGTTCTTTTTTGTAAAGCTTGTGTTGGTAGTCTATTGAGTAAAAATATTGTTGTATTTACAGCTTCTGCCCAGAATTTTTTAGGCAACTCTTTGTCATGAAGTAAACCCCTAACCATATCCATAATCGTCCGATTTTTCCTTTCTACAGTGCCATTTTGCTGAGGTGAATAAGGGGCTGTAATCATATGTTCTACACTTGTATCTTCACAAAACTTGTTCAATTTTTTGGAAGTATATTTAGTTACATTATCGAATCTGATCATCTGTATTTTGAACTTGCTTTGATTTTCCACCAAAGTTTTAAACTTCCAAAAAATGTTAGCAACTTCATATTTAAACTTCATAAAATATATCCAACACATTCTTGTCATGTCATCAATGAAAATAATATAATACCTACTGCCATTCAATGATGGTGTGCTCATAGGACCTCTAACATATGTATGTATCAATTGTAGATTTTGCATAGCCCTATAAGTCTTGTTTTTTTTGTGGAAATGAGAGTCTTTGTTTGCCTTCCATATTGACAAGCAATGCATGTAGGAAATGCTTCTTCTATATCAAGTAAGCCTCTGACCATGTTATTCTTCTTCATGAATATTAGAACACTGTGGTGAAAATGGCCCAATCTTTTATGCCAAAGTATTGTACTGCTAACCTCTTTGTGCACTGCAGCTTGTTCTTCACTCGTGAAGTCTAAAGCAAAGCTTTTTCCTTTCATTCTAACTTTAAATACTTCCTTGCCTGCTGCATCTTTAATCATGCATTTTTTGTGTTCAAACAACACCTTATAACCTTTTTCAAGCAATTGAGGAACACTTAACAGGTTTTGGTTAATTTTTGGAACATATAAAACATCTGAAATCAGTT